GCATAATTATTAGATCAACTTATATGAAACTATAATTCAGATCTCATTAGAATTTATTATGTTTATTATAATCTATGTTATAAATAGAAAAAAATTACCATGCTTGTTGCAATTTGCAAATTCATCAAAAGAAATCTACTTCTTATTGTTCACATGTCTTACTCTAACTGTAAGCCCAAAACTGTTAGCACAAAGAATCGCTATAAGAAACTCTTATTAAGAATATTTAAAAGTGATGGTATGGTTAAAACATGCAGATTAATGATAACCGAATGATTAAATATTCCTAGTATAGTGTACACCAATTTAAGGGTCAATTTTAAATACATTGATTGAGATTCTGTTAGTATTTAATAGTTATTAATTAAATTACTTATTATTATATTTTACTGTAATTATTAATTCCAGATTTTTTTGAATTGAAGTCAAAAGACAATAAATAGAGCTTTTATTCAAATATAATATTTATAATATATATACTGTATATTTATTTATATATATTCTATGAATAACTTTGAAAACTAATTAAAAACATCAAAATATCATATTTGAGTTATATGTTTATAATCGATGTTTATTACAGTTTAATATAATGATAATAATTATATAGAGATTTAAAATATTGTCATCTATTTTATAGTATATATAATGAATTGAGAAGAAAACAAATATTAAACAAATCAAACATAAACGGGAGAGTTGTTGGACTTCGTGATCGCAGTTCTCTCTACAAAAAGGGATCAATTAAATGGTTAATCATTAAATACTTTAAGAAAAACTAATGTCTTCACCAGAAATCTCCTTCAGGTCCACACAATTACTGTTCACATTTCTCTTTGCGTTCACTTTTCTTATCCACCAAATGAGGGCATAGATAGGAACGGCTGACACTGAGGACAGGGTGAAAGCCCAGCCCAAAACGGCTGACCAAATGGGGTAATCGTAGTTATAATATGACAACCGCTCCGAATTGATAATCGAGAGGACAATGACACACTAAAATCAAGTTAACAATACCGGTATACATGATATACATGTAAATGCTATGAGAAACAGTGTATACCATAAGAAATATGGGAGAGATGTACTTCCAGGACAGCACCCAATATCTACTTGGTGGGTATCCTAACATTGATTGGATATCTCCACTAAATCTATCCGATCCTTTAGTCAATGAAAGTTGACAAATGTCAATAATATTGAACTACACACCATTAGAGCAAGGTTAGTTACCATAAAAGTATACGACAGCAAGAGCTTCAAACATTGCCGAACATAACAAGGAAATTCCAGCTGAATATGTGTCGAACCAAACCATTGTATATCCGCCGCCCTTTCAAACAATTCTTATAAATATATCAAATTAAGTTTATTTTTATATGAATATACTTGAGTGCAGTTAACCAATGCCCCCAAGAATGAAGTGCTGATCACAATAGCAGTGAAGTATTCGCGCTTTAGTTTCTTGAATCTGAATTCATCCATTAGACCTGTTATGACGGCCTCCAGTCCTCCCATCTAACCATCAAATCAATTATATAACACTTATTAAATTGTTGCTTAAATTATAGCTATGAATTTACCGCAGAATCAATGCCAAGAGTCAATAACATTATAAAGAATAATAATGACCAGAATTTGGCGAATGGAAGAGTAGAAATAGCCTCAGGATATACCTAATATGTACCGCATATAGAATTACTGTAATAACTGTAATAAGAATATCTTATATAAAGTCTATATTCATAAAATGTTTAGTGCCTGAAACACAAGTCCGTATCCTTCAGAGGCGACGTTTTGAATCTCTTTGTTCATACTGTTAGCCATATATCCCAAGTAAGTAAAGATTACAAATCCAGAGTAAAACGATGTCAAAGAGTTAACGCAAGCAGTTATGAGACAATCACTGGTATAATCAACAATTATATTAAAATGTGAATTATGAGACAATATTGTCTCATATAAATAAAACACAAACCGATAACAATTATTATTAAACTTATTAAATGAGGCATAAGTCAGGTGTACTCCAAAGCCAACGCCAATTGAGTAGAAGACCTGAACGGCTGCGTCCACCCAAACCGACGGCTCCAACAACTTCTCCAAACGAGGGTTTATATAATAAAGGATTCCTTCGCCTTCAAGTAGTTTAAGTATTAACTTATTAATCAAATCCATATATTTTTCATGGATTACCGGCTCCGGGAAGAAATAGTCCTCTTATTAGAAGAATAGTGAGTATAAAGTAAGGAGCGGTTGCTGTGAACCAAACCACCTAATGGTCACAAATTAAATGTTAATATTATATTACTTTTAAAAGTTAAAAAAGATACCTTTCCCGAGGATTTGACTCCTTTGAATAATGAAAAGTAAAGCACAAAAAAGACTACAACTAAACAACCAACCAATTCGGGTCTTAGAGTTCCCATTCCTGTCAATCCATCAGATTTATCGATCTCTAGAAGTGCTCTCCTTTTAGTTGTTAGTAATTAAAAAATATTTTTGTTTGAATAATAAAATTTATATAAATTATTAATTTCAGTTTAAAAATCTGATGAATAGAAATACAGTATTATAAAAGAATGTTCTTTAAAATATATTTTCATAAAGTTTTGCTTAAATAAAACAATTCTGGGTTTATGATTTTGAAATTATCCATTAAATATAGAATAGTATTACGAAAGCTTATGTTTATAAACCAAATGATTGCTTTATTAATAATTATCAAATAATTAGAAAGTGAATGAATAATCAATAAATTCTTATCACTTATAAACAATTAATTTTATTTAATTTCAAATCATGTTATCAATCATTTGTTTATTATAATGAAAACAATTGATAAAAGTCTCACCAAAAGAATTCTTCGGTCGGAGAACTTCTATTCGTTAAATTAATTTTCACGCAATCATCAGGTTCTGTGTCACCATTATTCTTGTGGTGCGATGTATTGGTTTGGCATTGAATGGCTTGCATTTGCGACACAGAAAAGCAATTATCGGTGTTGTAGTCATTGTCGCAGTGCTGCCAAGGCATCAGATCCCCTGTATGTACTTCATTAGAATATTCTGTCGCATATTCTACATAACAAACCTGATGTCAAAGACTTGAAGATGTAATATGTGGTCCACGCGATGATGACATTGTAATAAAAGGAAACGTACCACGAGATCAATACACAGCAGTAACCGATTCCCTTCATGGGTGGACACAACTTATTCCACATCGTTATGGGACCGCATTTTGTGAATTGTCCCACTGATAGCTCCAGGAAAAATAACGGCAGTGCACCGAATACTAGCATGATCGTGTATGGGATTAGAAATACACCTAAACCCAAATTAGTAGATTAATTATTACATTATAGTCAATATCTAAATTGAGATTTGAAACAGAATATAAGTGGATCTTAACAAGTAATTTAAAACTTTAATATTATGGTACTGTAACATATTTTGATTTTAAAATTATATTTAATAAAGAGTTACTAAATTTTATATATTTACTATACGATACTGTTTATGGTCTGTATTAATTAATTCATAAATTTTATTTCACATAATTTCCACATAAATTCTCTTATATTAAGATAGTGTGCCCATACATACCGCCGCCATTCTTATAGCACAGGTACGGAAACCTAAAATTTATAGAATATATTAAATAATTATTGTTGCTATTAATAATTACGTATTAATAATACAATTATTTTACAATATTAAAGTGGCTACATTAAAAAATTTGTAATATTTTAAAATTATATTTAATTTTTAACCATCTCTCTCTCTCTCTCTCTCTCTCTCTCACACACACACACACTCACTCACTCACTCACTCACTAAATACACACAACTAATCTATACTTATAAATCATTAAAATATTGAGTTGTTATAATAAATTGTAAAACCAATGCAAACCTCCAAACATTGGATAAGTCGACGGCAAACCCAATGATGGAAAGAAGAAAATCAATTTTTTTGCTCCATTCGAGTCGTTCCTGTTCTCCATTTTCTATTTTATCGTTTTCTAAGCTTTCATTCTTTTGCAGAGCGTTTGTATTATTCTTTTCATTTTCTTTGCATATCTTTCTTATGGCTAATTGTGTGCGAAATTTTGAAAACTTTTGTTTCCATTTTGATATCATTACAGAACTACTATTTTCACTGATATTATCTTCGAGTTCTTCATTATTCTCGAAGTGTTTTGAATGAAATTTTTGTCCCGAAAGCAACTTTGGAGTCGAATGAAGTGAATCATAGCCTGAATACACAAATTATTTGCTAAATTAAAATGCAATATTTGCACTTCATTTAAATCAGATAGTAAAAGGTTATATAAATTTATACATAAGTTATATAACATTAAACTAATAAAATGCAAACTTTATTTACTAGTTATATAAAGCAAGTAATAATTGATGTGAATTAACCAGAATGACATGCAATAAAAATTCAATAATTTCATTCATATTTCGCAGAAGTGTCTTATACTGTATTACAGAATAGGTGCGAATATTGTAATTGAAAACAAACCTAAATCTACATAATGTTGTGATTTATTTTGAAATGAATGCCGAGTTAAGAGGTCCACCTGAACGCCGACATCGGAAAAAGATTTGTCGTCAATAATAGTATCAATATTTTCAATAGAAAGCGAACACATCTTTTCTTGAGGTTTGCTATCGATGCACACGATTTACAGTGAAATCCATTGGTTTTAATATAATATATGCATTAATAACAATTCAAATTCATTGCAAAGAATATGAATGCAAATTATTTGAATACTATAAAGTGTTTCCATTGCTGTATAGTCACCACAATAACGATTGGAGAATATTTTTTACAACTTTTAATTAATTTAATAGCGATTCTTGATTCAAGATAGACATGCATTTTATGCGATTATTGCTTATAATAACTGTTTTTACATTGAATAAAATAATTGTTAAACTGAAATAAGTTTTAAACTGAAAAACAAAGATGTGTTGAAAGTTGTTACGATTAGAGTTAACAAAACGGAAAGAAGTGTTCATTTGATTAAACAGATAGTTTGAAACGTTATAATCAGGGAAACAGGAATGGACTGAAAGTCAAGCGATGGCTCATATTTTGCAAAAGTCTTAAAAAGCCTCAAATGACAGCATATATTGTGTGTTCGTATTGAAAGCACTTCCAAGTGTTCAGAACTTCATTATTGTTGTGAAAATGAGTGATGAAAGCAAATGAGAAGTTCTACTAAACTTTGGACTAAATTCTAGTTTAGCGCTAATCATATTAATAATATGACAGTCCATACAGTCAACAGGCATACAATCCATACACTGGGATAGAGTGAAGTCAAAAGATATTACAAAAATTCTTAGCATAACTTTGAAGTGCCACCAAAGCTATCATGCATTTGATTGCAATATATTCCTAAATATTAAGAATAATTCGCTCAAAAAACAGTCTATCATCGCTCCCTACACTACATTACAGTACCAGTTGAGAGCTATATTGCAAATATCAACGAATATTCTTATAGTATATTCTCCATTCAATTCTCTGCCAAACATTACTTTTTCCATTTATTGATTAAAATTAAATATTTTTTCAAAAATATTGTTTTCAACACTTTCATCAAAATTCTAATGAAATCAACTGACGGACGATTGCCATCTCTTTACGACAATTTATATCAGTATAAGTCTTATGACTGCAATCTATTTCCACACAATTATTCAACACTAAAGCTCTCAGTAATTGTCTGTTATATAACTCATTACTTCTACACTCTATTAAGTCTTACAACCATTATATGCAATATCATGGCTAACGTATTCAAAGCAAATGCAAATACCATTCATTCAATTAAATTAAACACATTTTAATGCTATTAATAACTAATTTTTATTGAATAAATGAGAAATAATTTTGACAAAAGTGTGAAATAAAAAGTAATCAAATTTCAAATATTCTTTAATTTCCTCCGCGAAGACGCAAAACCAGATGAAGGGTTGACTCCTTCTGGATGTTGTAGTCCGAGAGAGTGCGCCCGTCTTCCAGCTGTTTGCCCGCAAAGATCAAGCGCTGCTGATCCGGAGGAATGCCCTCTTTGTCCTGAATCTTCGCCTTCACGTTCTCGATAGTGTCCGACGCCTCCACTTCCAAAGTAATGGTCTTTCCGGTCAGAGTCTTCACGAAGATCTGCATTCCTCCTCTCAAACGGAGAACCAAATGGAGAGTCGACTCCTTCTGGATGTTATAGTCAGAGAGAGTGCGCCCGTCTTCGAGCTGTTTGCCCGCAAAAATCAAGCGCTGCTGATCCGGAGGAATGCCTTCCTTGTCCTGGATCTTCGCCTTCACGTTTTCAATGGTATCGGAGGGCTCGACCTCAAGAGTGATGGTTTTGCCGGTCAGGGTCTTCACGAAGATCTGCATTCCGCCTCTCAATCGAAGAACCAAATGAAGGGTTGACTCCTTTTGGATGTTATAGTCGGAGAGAGTTCGGCCGTCTTCTAGTTGTTTGCCCGCAAAGATGAGTCTTTGCTGATCCGGAGGAATGCCTTCCTTGTCCTGGATCTTTGCCTTCACGTTCTCAATAGTGTCTGAGGGCTCGACCTCAAGGGTTATGGTTTTGCCGGTCAGGGTCTTAACGAAGATCTGCATCCCTCCCCTCAATCGGAGCACCAGATGAAGGGTCGACTCCTTCTGGATGTTGTAGTCGCTGAGAGTGCGTCCGTCCTCTAGTTGTTTGCCGGCGAAGATCAAGCGCTGCTGATCCGGAGGAATGCCCTCTTTGTCCTGAATCTTTGCCTTTACGTTCTCAATGGTGTCCGACGGCTCCACTTCGAGTGTAATTGTCTTTCCCGTCAACGTCTTCACGAAGATCTGCATTCCTCCTCTCAAACGAAGAACCAAATGAAGGGTTGACTCCTTTTGGATGTTATAGTCAGAGAGAGTGCGCCCGTCTTCGAGCTGTTTGCCCGCAAAGATGAGTCTTTGCTGATCCGGAGGAATGCCTTCCTTGTCCTGGATCTTCGCCTTCACATTCTCGATGGTGTCGGAGGGCTCGACCTCTAGAGTGATGGTCTTCCCGGTCAAGGTCTTGACGAATATCTGCATTCCTCCTCTGAGTCTGAGGACCAGATGAAGAGTGGACTCCTTCTGGATGTTGTAGTCCGAGAGAGTGCGTCCGTCCTCTAGTTGTTTGCCGGCGAAGATAAGCCTCTGTTGGTCCGGAGGAATGCCTTCCTTGTCCTGAATCTTGGCCTTCACGTTCTCAATGGTATCGGAGGGCTCGACCTCAAGGGTTATGGTCTTTCCGGTCAACGTCTTCACAAAGATCTGCATTTTGTCTGCAAATGAAACAAATAAGTCGTGAAATGATGGCCCAAATGGTGAAGCAATGAATGGTTAATACATTTAGTGATCGATTGATTGCAAGTAAAACGCAATTAACGAGAGATTTAGAGCTGAAGTAACGATACGTTCGTTGGATTCACGCAATAATAACTGATTTCCACGAATGCATCCAATGTTATAGCCTTTGCTGAGTCACTCAACCCCTTTAAACACCTTCTCATTGGCTGCTAAACAGTAGTCACATTTGTAACGCGAGCTCCCATTGGTTGTCGTGTTTCTATGCTATTATGAGAACCTTCTGGAAGTGAATTGCAAAATGAGTGCAATATTTGCAGTACAGACGCGTTCACAACAAACGTTATCATCATAACGACGGCGCGCGTATCGATTGCAATACAAATGAATAGTGTCTGTGTGTTAACCCCTTTCAGCCCCCTATAGGTTACGATTGTTGTGAACTGTTTGAGGAAAGAGTTGTACTAAAGATGTATTACTAATGCATTGCAGAGGCAGTGGAGGTATGACTGCATTGACACTCATTGCAGTCATGCAGGGAATGGCTGTTCATATGAATACGTATTGCACACGAAAGGCACGAATAGTTCAATGAATCACTACCACTACCATCACTGATCCGGATTCCGGATCTTACACTACACTTAGCCCTCACGACCCACACAGTCATCATAATTAGCATTAATGGACACTCCTCTGATCTGATCCATGGCTCTCGAGGTTGAAGTTATGGCTAAAGGTTTTCACTTAAAAGTGATGACTATCTGGTATTATCAAGTGATAACTAGTTCCCAGGTTTAGTCTAAAGTCTGAACACCTTTTAGATAATCCGTGAACAAATGGAAAACTTTTCCAACCATTGATTATTCATATTTTTAAGTCTCATTTTGAAAACACTTGAATAGTTTGAAACCAAACACATTGAAAATGACAACATTTATGACCCAATCAAACATTTCTAATAAATAATACTTTTATTACTAAATTAGATGTTTTATATAATAATACAAATATATAACAAATAATGAGAGTACAGATCATATCTTCGGACAATCTTCTAGTTATGAAACTTTTGGAAAGTTGTCGTCATATGAGGACAATCTGTTCACTCATTCAGGCAATGAGTCGTCCATTGAATCTGTGGTTTCATTGAAACGATATATGAATGAGTAAAACATACGACAATTCAAATGACATGAATGCCTACCAATCGACGACTCGGTCCTTAACCTCATCCGCCGGCAGCGGGCGGGGCGTTGGGTCCACCGCATCGACCGAGGGTTCGCACGTTAGACTGTCCCGGCGTCCGACCGCCGCCACCACCCCCTCCGCCTCCCCAACCACTACCTCCTCCTCCACCGCCTCCGCGACCATCTCTTCGACCACTGGATTGGGAGGACTCACCAAATCGTGAACCAAATGGCAACAAAGTTTGACAACTATTTCACAATCAATACAATGATTAGATGGGAGGCAATGAAGACAATGAGTGGACACTCACAAGAAGATTAAGAAGTTGAAGAAAGCTAACAACAGCTCCAAAGGTGTGGACCAACTCAAGGACCTCTTGTCCTCGATTTGACCGCCTGTTCACACTCATACACGTCAACTCATATATCAATGACTTTTGTGGCAAAACTTACGTGAATTGATGTAAACCATTGTCTCATCGATTGACAGATCGACACAAATGAATAGTTTTACAGTTAAGACAAACACAGAGAAAATGACATCTTTTTAGCCTTTACTTCAAATTGCTATCAATTATTATCTCGTTTTGGCATTTTTTAACACATGTTTCATATGAATGTGTAACCTTTTGTGACAACACTGTTACTGTGGTGTAAGCTATAATTGATTGTCTATAAAAGTAACATAACTTCGAACTCTAAGTACACGTAATGTTTACAAAACAAAATATTTTGTTTACGTTTTGATTGAAAAGAAAAGTTTTCAAAACTAATGAATGGATTGAATGAACGAAAGGGAAAGCAATGCATTGTTTGTCATATTTCGTGAAATTGAGACCAAATGTGAGACACTTTTCGGCCATCAGTTCATACAATATCTTCGACTCGAAGACCAAACGATTGCAACGAGAAGTGGCCATCGATTTGGATGACAATCAGAAGTACGACTACTTGAAGGATGAGATCGCATATCGAGTAGTGGACAGAGTCTATGATATTAAGAGACACTTCCCTCTTGTGGTGGACTTCGGCTCACAGAAGGGACTCATTGCTAAGAATTTGTCAAATGTTTGCCTCATTTTGAATGCATTTTATGATGAAATAATCGATTCAATGAATTATATGTTAGGAAACATACGATACTCTCATATGTTGTGATTCTTCCCACAAATGTCTTCAGAGAATTGAAGGATTGGATGGAATAGAGACCATAAGTGTAGTGATCGATGAGGAGGAAGGCCTCCCATTCCGAGATAATAGCATTGATTTAGTGATAAGCAGTTTAAGTATGCATTGGATTAACGATTTGCCGAAAGCTTTCGCACAAGTATTCAATTGATTTGTTTGCTCTGAAATGACTGTAATTAAGATATTTGTGCCGAAGATTCACAGATGTCTTAAGAGTGACGGCGTATTCATTGGTGCGATGTTTGGCGGACAGACCCTCTTTGAACTGCGCTCTTCGCTGCAAATGGCAGAACAGGAACGGGAGGGCGGCTTCGGTCCACACGTCTCGCCATTCATTACGGCTCAAGACATGGGATCACTTCTGACTCGTTCGGGATATAACTTGATTACAGTGGACACGGATGAGATTAAAGTGAATTATCCGACAATTTTCGAGTTAATGTATGACTTGAAGGGAATGGCAGAAAACAATGCATTAGTGAATAGAAAAAGTCTTTTGCGAAGGGATTCGCTGTTGGCGTCGGCGGCCATATACCAGACCCTCTACGGCAACACTGACGGCTCAATTGCGGCCACTTTTCAGATATTTTATTTCATTGGTTGGAAACCCGATCCCTCGCACCGGAAGCCCCTCGAGAGGGGTTCCGCACAGTTCTCCCTCAAAGATATACCCAATTTGGATAAAATATTAAAAGATACCGAAAACAAGTCATAAATTAATTAAAATATTTATTTTTTATTCAAAATGATTTGCAGTAATAAGTGAATTATTATATTATTCAGTAATTTAATGAACAAATTGTTTTGATAGCAAACTTACTTTATATGCCTTTTCACATGTAAACTTTACACATGTCTTAATACTTACTATAAATAATTACATAGTCTATGATAATGAAGAGATTAAATGTTTAGTTAAATAATTAAAAGTTGATTTCTAACTACTGTATGATTTAAACGTGTGTTAAATGAATTGAGAATATTCTGACTTGTGAGTGGACGGGTATTTGACAAGTATTGCATGGATATAGTGGACGGGTATTTGACAAGTATTGCATGGATATAGTGAACGGCAGATGGCATGATACGAGTCTAAGTGTTGGAAAGTTTAAATGCCTTGACGTGAGAGCCAATGAGAAGTGAATAAAATATCTTCAAAAAAGTGCACACATTTGGCACATAACTGAGGGATCAGTCATTTGATGGCATACTTTGTCTGGTAATGATCACCGAATTAGTCCATCACACCACTCATCATCACCGCAATCATGTCGTCTGAATGGGAACTATTGAAAGAGAATGTGGAACCACTGAAGTCCGGCAGAAGTATGAAGACTCTGAAGAATGCTTTGACACAAAACGCGTCCGATTTAAATGCTAGAGAAGAGCGTCGGAAGTAAGTCTAAGACATTGTCTGAATATTGAGACATTGATTGATAATATTTGGCGGACAACCCATTGACAGGGAGTTTGAGTCTGAATTGCGGACATATGAGGGTTCGGATCTGTTGTCTGTGTATTACGATTACATCCAATGGATTGAACAAAACTATCCTTTGGGTGGAAATGAGGCGAATCTGAAGACTCTTCTGGAGAAATGTATCGAACAGTTCTATGAGTTGGATGAGTACCGCAACGACAAGAGACTGCTCTCCATATTCTTGAAGTTTATCAAACGAGTGGACAGTCCTCTCGAGATGTTTCAGTTCTTTCATGAGAACGGATTCGCCGAACAGTTGTCCGACTTTTACATCAATTGGAGCTTTCATTTGGAGAACACGAAAAACTGTCGCAAAGCTGCGGATGTCTTGCGTCTGGGAATCGCACGAAACGCCGAACCCATGGGTCCTCTGACGGCAGCACTCGAGCAGTTGGAGTTCAGAGTCGCCAAAGCCATCGTCAACCACAAGACGGATGACTTGAATGAAAACGCTTCAGACGACGAGCCAAAGAGACAGCCCCTCAACAAACTGAAGACTAAGACCGCCAAAAAGGGACGAACCGACGCACCCGTCAGTCGAGTTGGGAATGCCGTCAAAAAGACTGGCGATGGTCTCAAAGCATCGACGGGCGCCTCAAACAGCGGACAAATGACTTCAAACAAAACTCCTGCTATTTATTGCGATGAGAATGACCCGACACTACCCGAAAAGGTGAGCACCGGTACTGTTAAGACGTCTCGAAGTGCTAAACACGTGTCGAGTGTCGGAAATGTTGGTCAAGAGAACGAACGAAAGGCAGGAAAATGGAGTGAAAACCAATTGAAACTAAAGTCAATTGCAAAAAGTGAACCAAAATTTACAATCCATGCGGACGAAGACTCTGAGGACGAGTGTCCGGAACGGGTGAAAAAGCCGCCACAGAGTAACGCACTGAAGGTGAGACCTCGTGGTGCGGACAGCCCTCCTATCGCTCGCTTCGAAAAGGCGGATCCACTCAAGAAATTCTATTTCAATGAACACAAGTTGTTCGCCGGCGGAGAGGAGTTCTGTTTCGAAGAGATCAGAGGCCGGCAGTGGATGTTGAAGAGGAAACACGAAGAGGAGGACAACCGTAAGGCTAAGTTAGAGGAAGAGGTGGAAGAACTGAAACAACAAATCCAACTATTGCTTCATTCACAACAAAATGCACAACAATTAAGTGACAATTCTTCTGAAATGGGTTCAAATATTGACAGTCAGAACATGTGATCAGCATTTTAGGCTCATTTCCATCCAAACCAATCACTTTCAATAAATTGCAATCAATTAGTATTTTAAGAAAAATAAAATCATTTTCTCTTTAACCCACACAATGATGACAATTTTTCATTCAATTCTAGATTACCACTCATTTAATAGACAGTGATGTGTTTAAGTATGTTTAGTCCAATTCAGTTTTATTTGTACCAGTATTTATCGAGTCATATACGGTATTACCGGTACATTCATTGTCACTTAAGTGAAAGTTTGTCATTTGATTTACTTTTGAAACCTGAATTGACTGTTTTGCTTACAATACTATTAAATTATGAACAACTTTTTAGAACATTGTATATATTAATGAATTCACAAAATATTAATTAATATTTTTGTATTTAATAAAATTCATTGGTGATTTTAACATTCCCTGTGATTATTTATTTAACAGTGGCTCAAGTCATAAATAATTGGACGCGTTTATTTAATCATTTTTATTTAAAATTAGTTTGAAATGTTTATTGCAAGTTTAACTCCAAATAAATACAACATTTAATGTGATTCTAAATTTTTATAATAAAAATAAACTTAATTTTAAAATGTATACATATTTGAATGTAAAATATAAACTCATTAAATATTTATGGATAAAGTATAATATTTAAACAAATGAAAAAATAATATAGTTTATGGTCCGTTTAATTAAATAAATTAGTTTTCAAAATACTCTATGAAATGTTTGTTACAAAAGTCGACTCAATAATAATTAAAAGTGTAATAAAATTGCAAAAATAGCTGTTAGTATTATCATAGTAGTTATTAGCCGTGAAAAAGTATAAAAAGTGATATTTTTGTACATTTTATATATCAAATAAGTCACATTTGGATGGACTTTAATAATGATTGCAAACACTAGAAAATAAATTATTGTAAGTTTCAAATCATTTTAATCAGTTGTGTTAAACCATTCATAAGTGTTGTTTCCAATAATAGCTTATAATTTAAAGTCAAGACATAAAAATGGTTTAAAGCTAATCAAATGCATTGACGGACGAAATGTAACAAAAATATCGAAACTTATTTCCTTTTGAAGAAACTCATGACTCCCTTCTTCTTCGGGTTATTCTTGTTTGGGTTGGAGTTTGAAATCTCTTCCTCACTGGAAGTGGTTATGTTTGTCATTGAATTCTTGCCACTCGAGTACGTGGGCTCTAATTGATTGGTTTGTCGGCTATTCGGTGGAAGACTCATATGTCGGGCCACAGGAATGTTCTGGTATGTCGTTTGGGCTGTAATTCAATGATTATAACAATTTTCAATTATTTTTCAAAAGTTATATTTAAATTGACATTTCATTAGAATATTATAAAGTATCCATTAATGTATACACCGTTGTTACTAAACATCGGACCCATTTGGGAGGCTTGGCGTTTGGACACCCTGTACTATTTTTTGATGATTCCTTTTCGAAGGTGTAGAGGAAGAGTTAGATTTTTATGTGGTATATAATTTGTCAAGGTTATATTTGTAGAAAAAGTTATATACTCGATCTTTTCAAAAACCGTGGAAAATATTAAGTTTTTTTGACAGGTTTTTGAATAGAAAACGATTTTTACATAGAGAAATCATTGAGGTTAATATTTTTTCTACAAATATAACCTTGACAAATTATATACCACATAAAAATCTAACTCTTCCTCTACACCTTCGAAAAGGAATCATCAAAAAATAGTACAGGGTGTCCAAACGCCAAGCCTCCCAAATGGGTCCGATGTTTAGTAACAACGGTGTAGTAAGTAGTGTTTAAAATGTAAATCAAAACGGGGACCAGAAATTGAACCAGGGGTATAGGAATTCATGCATGTTGGGACACATGCAAACACCAACTAAATTATTGTGTCATTTTGTTCATAAGTTTTTCATTAGAAGTTTGATAAATTGGTTACAAAAGCGAAAGCAAATAATTAAAAGTTTTAGTTATGAAATGAGTTAATGAGTGACTGGAAGATGTGTTGATTAAGAGTGCAATTAAGCGGTAATGGAGACAAAGCAGACAACAAGACAACAGACCGTATCGGAGGTCTAAGTGATGCGAAAGCCATTCTTCGGATTCTGAATCGGTCTCATGAGTGGTGGGAAAGGTTGCATACATTGGATATGGAACTGGTTTTGGAGGCAACATATGATTATAAGGCGCTCGGATAGGGTATGCATTATAAGCGGTATTCTGTGGTATGTGTGGTATCTGTGATAAGCCGGGCATTAGGTGTGCGCTAAAGGGGTTGAATGAGTTGACGACCACTAATGAGCCAAACAAACAAACATTTGGTCGTAAAAGCACTTAATCAACAAAACCTTACAAACACTTACTCTCGTTGTTGTGGCCGTTGTTGTGATTTCCGTTCGTATGTGTCGTATGGGAGGCCTCTCTCTGAGGAAAACTTTGTCTGAAGTTATTATTATTCCTTCTTTGGTGATCCATTTCATCGATGCGATGATCGTATCCATCGCTTATGGGTCGTTGTTGTGGAGGAAACTCAAGATTTGGCATCGATTCAAATTCCTCGGGAAAAGACTTCTGTGTGTTTGTAGTCCTCGGGGGCGGCAGAGGCGGTGCCGGCCTTTTGTTGATTGCATCGGGAGGTGGAACTGATGGAAACACATTCGTTGGCAATGGGAGTGATGGTCGAGGAGCCACTGGTGTTGATCCCATTGGGTTCGATGAAACCGAAGACTTTCTGCTCAGTTCTGGAGAAGAAGAACTTTGACTCGAAGTATCGTATTTGGAGACTGTATTGGATTGAGGAGACGATTGGGTGTCACTGTTGTCTGGTTTGGTCGGTGATGTGCCGGCGCTATAGATGGAGGCGTCCTTATGGGCGTCATAACTAAGTAATTGCATCGCCGGTGGAAGTGAGGCGTGAAAAGCGATTTTGTTGAGCCATTCCTGCATTCGGTTTTCATCGTTGTTTGTAAACAGATATTCCGATCCATCGCTTAATTGCAGTCTAAAGACATGTTTCCGTTTGGTGTAATCGTGTGCGCGGACACACTTTGCGCCCAACACTGAGAAGGGCGGCGCAGAGGCCTGATTGCCGAAGAAGCTGTCCTTATCCTTGAAGAAACACAACAGTTGTCCGCAAAGGACCGTATAATATGTTTTCCACGAGCGGACTGTCGCTCGCTTTCCTCCAGTTTGTAGTTCTTGTTTGCGATCCAGAAGTCCTTCGCATTCAACGGGTGGCAACTGATCCGGCTCTACACTAACCGTTTTAGTAGATCTAAAACTCCTTCTTCTTGTGGTGAAACTTGGAGTCCTCTTCGGTGACGCAAATTTGACGCTTTCGGCTCTTTTGATGGCTTTCGGCGCCAAAAGATTTTCCATTCTTTTAACCAAACCTTTAGAATTGACATCAATTTCATGACTAGATTTGCGAACTCCTTCTCCATTGTCTCTGTCGTAGAACTCATTGTCTTCGTGTCTGCGTTCGTCCAAAATCCTCATTTGTTCCCTTTGTTTGATCTGTTGGACCCTCTCGTGTTCCCTTCTGGCGATGTCCACCCTTTTCATGCGCTCCTCTTCTTGTTTCTGATGTCTGAAGTCATCCTCAATAAGAGTTAACCTCTGAATTGCTTTCACTTTCTCCTCCTGAGCTATAATCGCTTTCTCGAAGTCTTCGTGTTTGCGAATCAAGTCCTCGACATCTGCTATGGAATCGCCTAAATTGTCGTCACTTATCATATTTTCTCGCGAAGCGATCCATCGTTCGAGTTGTTGGGCGTCGTGTTTGAACTGTTGGGCGTCTAAGTTGTGCTCAAATATCACTCGTCTCTTATTCCAGATATCGATGAGGTTCTTGTGGGCGCCGTTCAGGCGATCTATCCTTTCGCGCACTTCTCCTGCCATGAAATGTCCCGATTCTATGATTATTTCGCCCTCTTTTGCACACTTAACGAAAGAGTCATTTCGGGCATCAATTTCTGTCTTATATTCTTTGTGTCGATTTAGTTGTGTCTCAGCACTGATGACGTCCTGATTCGCCAACTCGTCCTCAGCAGTGATCAGAGCAATCATCTCATTAATAGAAGCCATTAGTTCTCGATATTCATCGAAATATGTTTGAAGTGTTTCCGTCTCTAATAAGTGATGTCTTCTTTGGGCCGATCTCTGAAGCAATTCATTCCAAGACTCTCTCACCTCATCGTTCTTCGCAAAGATGTGTTCACTCGCGTCGGGGAAGAGAGAGGCCAACCGTTTTGCCTCTTCGAGTAAGGCCTCGACTTGTTCTCTGACGGCCGCCAAATCACGTTCAAAGCCTTCGTGAGACCGAATCATGGCCTGAATTGACTGCAAATCGTCATCAGGAGTGTAGGACTCATCCAAAGCAGTGCTCGAATCCTTCTCATGAATCCAAGCGATTGTCTCGTCAGCACTTCTGTCGAAAGTGTGGACCTGTTTGGCGCCGTGAAGTGCATCCTGTCGTGACTGAGCCGTGTCTTTCAACTCATTCCAAGCCATTAACACGTGATTCAGTTTTGCATTATTCTCTTCGAGTTCTTCGGCTGAAGAGCGCAAAGAAATAATTCTCTCTTCGTTTGAATTGAGATTTATAATAAAATTGTCGAATCTTTGGATCAGAAGCTCCACGTGTTCGACGTCTTGGCCATAGTCTTCAGAACAGGCGATAATCATCTGCTCTCTGATCCAAATAAGGAGTTCGTCCGCATCTCTGATGAATGAAAAATGTTTTCGATTTTCTGATAATTTCAGAGCTTTTTTAGCACACAATTCATTCAAACGATGGAATTTAAGCTCTAATTCAGAGATCTTTGATTGAATTGATTGAGAATCGAAATGATTTCTTTCGATCAAAGCGTTTCCCAATTGATATGTTTTCGACAAATTTGTTGACACGAATCGCTCGGAATCGCGTTTTATTAGATCCAGTTTTTTGTTCAAAGACACAATCGACTCCTCGTCCCTTCCGATCTCTTCACTCTCGAGGAATGGCATTCTCTCGGACCACCAGTGCTCTGCTTCCAATACATCTGAATAGAACTGTTGGGATTCAATGGCATCTAATAGTCTTAGTCGACGAATAGCTGCGCCGTCTTTAAGGGTTTGGATTTTGTTCTGCAGTTCACTAATCAGTGCCTCGATTTCAGTGGACGCGAAATGTTGTGATCGGATCAAAGAGTGTCCTTTACTTATGATTGTCGTCAACAGTGGCTCTCGAGCGCCGATTTCCGCTTCGAGCGACTGATGCTTTTTCCTGAGCTTTTGTACATCGAATAGACTGCTTCCCAGTTCTGTAGCCATCACTTGGATCTGTTTCTCTTCGATCCAAATGAGTTCGTCGTCGATATCGCGCTTGAATTGGAAGAGTAGAAGAGCTTCTTCCAGATTCTCGCGCCGTATTTGCATGGGTTCGTGAAGGGCTTCATACCTATGGATCACAGTCTGTGCCCTCTCTTCGATCTCCTCTTTCATGAAGTGATTGTTTTGAGTGAAAGCTGTCGTTAAGTCTTTGATTTGTTCGATGTTTTCGCTGTGATTATTGATATCGTTTTCAATCAACTGATGTTTTTTCATTATGTTTTGAGAACTAATCAGATCTTTGCCGTGATCTTCATCTGCCAGAACTGTTTCCATGTCACTCATCCACAGCTCCAGATCGTCGAGCATTCGGTGGAACTGAAGGGCCTGATAGGCGTCTTGGAGGCGCTCTTTCTTCAGATTTGTCTCATCCAAGAGATTACGCCACGACTTCTCGATGTGCTGCAAATGATTTTGAATCTCGTCGGACATGAAATGTCCGCAACTTATGAGTGCTTCGCCTTCGTTGACGACCGCATCCACTCTCCCCTTATTAGCGGCCAATTCTGCCTCAAATGCGGCGTGTTTTTGAATTTTCGATAAGAGATTAATGGGATCGCGATATGACTCGTCAGAAGCGACTTTCAGTTTCTCATTAAGCCATCCGAGGATTTCGTTGACATTCCTCAAGAATTTGTGAAACAGTTTTGAATCGTTTAGTTTGTTTTTGCGCTGTTTTGATGACTCCAAGAGTCGATCTTTTCTGGCGACGGCTGACCGGCATTTCGTCAGAATATTCTCGGAGTCAAAGTGATTGGTTTGGACCAAATCGTTGGCAAATTTGCCCAATTCTTCAATTCTCTGTTGAGTGGTCAGTGTCTTCTCAAAGTTATCGTGTTTTCTGATGAGTGACTCGACTCCTGCTAAAGAGTCGCCCAAATCCTCGTTATTAAGAAAGGCTTCTTTGGACGAAAGCCAGTCATCCGATTGTTTCATAAGTTCAATGAATAGTTGCAATTGAAGTGATTGTGTTAAGTAATGCTTCCTCTCCTCCCAGACCTGATCCAGAGATCGTCTCAATTCATCCAATTTTATTAACCCGTTTTCAATCAATTGTTTATTTGAGTCTTCGTTTTGTTCGTCTGAAGAGTTTTGAGACAATTGTTGCAGAAGTTTGTGTCCAAACTCTTTAAGGTATTGAAACACTTCCTTTCGCGCCATAATCTCAGTCTTAATGTCTTCGTGAAGCTGTAAATCGTTTCTAACGTCTGTAATAGTGTTACTAATATTAAGGGATTCTTTCATTCTATGGTTAATCAGATTATTGGCCCAAATCTCAGTTTCTTTTAGTTCTTCCAGAAATTTATGTAAAGTATAGGCAGAAGACAATCGGTTTCTCTTAATGTGACACAATTTGCTTAAATGCCTCCAATTGTCCTGAACTTCATTTATTTTGTTTCGACAGTTAGCCGTCATATCCGGGTATTTGTTAATCAATTTTCGGCCTTCATTTTCGACCAAATCTTTTAATCTAATCTCAATGGCATTCACTTCCCTTTCAATGGCCTCTTGTTTTCGTTGCAGTGCTTCCACTCCTTCCAAATTCTTCGCCTCTTCTTCATTGTCGAGGATTAAAGACTTTTCTTGTATTCGTTGATCCAAATCACATAAATCTCGATTAAATCGATGCACTTCTGCAGCATTTAGTAGTTTATTGCGATAGCAGTCGATAAGGATTTGCAAGTCTTTCCACTTATCGTTCAGTTGTTGACGGCGTCGGTCGATATGAGTGGACTGGGGTTGCGATTGAGATGTCTGTGTCTGAGAGTGGTGTTGTCGCAGCAGTTTGTCGGCCAAGAGATTGATTTGTTTGAGACGCTTGTNTCTGAGAGTGGTGTTGTCGCAGCAGTTTGTCGGCCAAGAGATTGATTTGTTTGAGACGCTTGTCGTCGACCCGCATATCGCTGTCGACGTCATCTAATTTGCGCTGAAGAGCCAAACAGTGCTCAAAGTCTTCTCCGGTGTCGTTGTGGCCGACCATCAGCTCCTTCTCTCTGATCCAAGACTCGACTTTCTCGACATTTTGGTTAAACTCAAGCATATCCTGTGCCTCTTCGAGCCCACGACCCCTCTCTTGGGATGCGTCGAGTAATTGATTCCATTTGTAGATCAGTTGTTCCAATTGTGATCTTATTTCCAGAGCCTTCTCGTGTGACTTCGAGATCAGATAATCTGCTTTTTGTTTAATACTCTTAATGTTGGGTTCATTGGCCTGGAGTTCCAATTGGAAGGACTGGTGTTTCTGAAGTTGTTTGATCTTCTCCTCCAGAGAGTTAACTCTGGAGTTGATGTCCTGTTTGCTGGTCTCCAGTTGTTTGGCCTTCGAGTCGATCCAATTGTCTGCTTCGACGGCGTCTCTTCGAAACTGCGCCAAAACGAGTGAATCGTTGAGTCGTTGTCTGCGAACGAAACACATTTCCTTCACCCGAAGACGTTTACCACTGATTTCGTCTAATTTCGATTTTATGAGTTCACTCTCGAAGTGGTTCTGTTTGATGAGCTTAAGACCCGACTCCTGGAGGGACAGCAGCTTCTCGTCGTGCGTCTGAACCACTTTCTCGAAGGCCTCGTGTTTCTTGAGGTTCTGCTCCACTTCCTCGACAGTGAGGCCCAAGTCGTCCGATTGGAGTCGTGTCTCCTGTTGTTGACTCAATTGATCCAATTGTTTGCAGTCGCGGATGAAGAAGTGGACGTCAATCAGTTGATCCAAATAGACTTTCTTGAGCTGCCATTTCTTGTGCAGACAGTCCCTCAGTTGGACCACTCGGTCGAGCATATGATTGATCTCTTGGATGGCGTAGTGAGTGGTGTGAGGAGTGGGAGCGTCCGGGTCTTCAGTGTTGGTCTGACCGGCGATGAGTCGGGCCGTGTCGAGCACTGACCCGAACACCGGTTCCCGGGCCTCGATCTCGGCTTTGAGCCTCTGGTGGTCCACTCGAGCGAGTTGTGCGCTCTGAGCGTCTCTCACTTTGTCGATGGTTTCCATCTGTTTGTCGAGACCCAGAGCCCAGTGCTCTAAGTCTCGCACCGACGCCACCAATGCCTGCAACTGATACGACTGCTGGAGCTGTGCTTTCCTGATGACCACCTTCTGTTGCAATGCCTCCCAGTGCTCGACAACAATGCTCTGCTGTTCGGCGATGTGTTGGGCGTTACCGCCCGGATATGCGGCCTGAAGTCGCACCGAGTCGTCGATAAGCACCTGTAGCTGCGCCTCGAGTGCCACCAAATCATTCTCAAACACCTCGTGTTTGCGGATCAGACTCTCGACTGAATGCAAGTCTTTCCCCAAATCACTCGAATTAATGACCGAAAACTTGTCACTAATTCTTGAGAGCGCTTCGGCGACGTCTCGGTTGAAGCGATGGATCTGTTGGGCGGCCGACAGCTTCTGCTCCCTGGCCTCCAATGCGTCCAACAATTGGTTCCACTGGTGCTCGAGTTGTCCCACTCGACGGTCCACCGCATCCAAGGGCTCACTTTTGGTCAACTTGTGGCCCGACTCCACAATAGCTCGATATCTCTCTTCGTTTGACTGTATTTTTCGCTTAAAGTCAAAGAATGCTCGAGTTGTCCCACTCGACGGTCCACCGCATCCAAGGGCTCACTTTTGGTCAACTTGTGGCCCGACTCCACAATAGCTCGATATCTCTCTTCGTTTGACTGTATTTTGCGCTTAAAGTCAAAGAACTTCGACTGAAGTATAAGTAAGTGTTCGTAATCTTTGCCGAAATCCTCCGATAAGGCGCTGACCATCTGCTCCGAGATCCACGACAAGAACTGATCGCTTTCTCGCATAAACTCGTGGAAGTGTTTCGATTGAATGAGTCGAAGACGTCTCTGATTTACCAATCGTTGCAATGCTTTCATCTGTTGGTCGATATCTTGCATGCGATTCACAATCAGCTTCTCGTCTGAGTTGAGGTCGCTTTGAGCCGATGGCGAACCGGGAGAGGAGTGGTTGCCATCGGTCTCGTCGTCAGCCATTACTCTACACGACTGACACAACTCTCGCGACTGACGACTCATCTCAACGATAATCACCGAATAGGTGTCCACTTCGAGCTCAATGGCCTTCTGTTTGGTGAGCAGTTTGATGGCTGTGTCCTCATCGGTGCCGAAGTCATTGCTGTTCATGATATTGAACTTCTCATTCATCCACGACTCCACTTCTGTCGCTTCGGACAACAAGTGTTGCATTTTCAGCGATATCTCCAACAACTTCTTGCGCTCCAAAAC